GATTGGACTTATCGAGTATTAATTCTGATATTAATGCACTCTTTCCATAAATCCACACCATTTCATTCCAAACAATGCACACGTAAAACAACCAAAATAACTAAACATCGTTATTATTATTGATAGTTCACATTACATCGACTGACGAGTCAAGTCTATTGCGACAATGTTCATAAGTCATATTCACCGCTGCTCAACGACGTCGCGTTTATGGATGCTATGCTACGAACCATTCGCTAATCTGTCCACTGTACGACGACTTCGCGTGTACTCGGTTGCTGCAAATTTGCTCGGAACGTGAACAGTTCGACTCTGTAAATTATTCTTCCTGGCTGTACGCCGATTTCAGGAATGAGTCCATGGTCACTACACTTCTGACACCATGTTTTATGCTTTTGTTTGACTCTACATAATAGGCAATAAAGTCTGTTTAAAGTTTACAACTTCAACTGGTTAGTGCTTTATTCTAGTAATCTTCATTCTGGTTGTCAAGTCAGTACATAACACAAGAGGGCGCACTGCCACTCTAAACCATATATAACATTATTGATATGAAATTGCTCTCACATATTCCTGTTAGTTCATTTCGTTGCATGAATTGGTTAAAATATATAGAAACACAATCTTCATGATATTATATTAAAGGTTATTTCACTGAAAAATGGACTAATTATCCATGTTTTTTTTATAAATACAGAGAAACGTTTAAATTTCCGCAGAGTTCCGCTTATATTTTAATACCACCATTTTGTCTGATTTCTAAGCTTTAAGTTGATACCAAATTTGGCTGCCCGATCCTGCCCGTTGTCATGTTAGAGCCGATTCCCCTTGCCACATTGTCCCGAAAAATATGTTTGTTTTTAGTCCGCGGCTGAATCATGAAGGATTCGCGGTCATAAATCACGGCGCTTGGGGCGCGTGACACTTGTTCTGACACCGCGGACCAAAATAAACACATTTTTCGAGGCAATGTTGCAAGGAGAACGGCTCTAACATAATAACGGGCACAATCGGGCAGCCAAATCTGGTATCAACTTAAAGCTTAGATATCAGAGAAAATGTTGGTAATACCATTTAAGCGGAAATCCCTGGACATCCAAACATTTCCTATGGATTTATAGAAAATAAATCCCCAGAAATTAGTTTTGGCACACTTTGGTTCCTCCCTGGCCCACTGTGCGCCCGCGCGAAGCGCGGAAGCTTTGCCCTTTCATTAATTATTGGAGGAAGAAGATTTGTTGTACTATTCTCGACTCTTATTACTTGACTGAATTTAGCCCCCCCCCCCCCTTCCGCGCGAAGCACGGAAGCTTTCGCTTTTCATAGTTTAATGAAATTATTAGAGAAAGAAGATTATTCGTTGTTCCATTCTCGACTCTTAATCCTTGTCTGAATTCAGTTTCCCCCTCCTGCGCTTTGCGCGGAAGCTTAACGTTGCATTGAATTATTAGAGAAAGAAGATGATTCGTTCTAACGTCATCGACTCTTTATCCTTTTCTGAATTGAGTTTCCCCCGCGCGAAGCGCGGAAGCCTCGACGTTTCATTAAATTATTAGAGAAAGAAGACGATTCGTTGTACCGTTCTCGACTCTTAATCCTTGTCTGAATTGAGTTCCCGCCATCTCCCCCCCCCCCCCCTCCTCACCCTCCCCTCCCGCGCAAAGCGCGGAAGCTTTGACGGGGAGGGGACAGCGAGCTGCCCGAATATGAATTTGTTATATCTTTTCTCGTATATTTTGGTGATAAATAACACTTTCACAAAATACATATTATCTTCAAATTTTTGCTCGCTCGCTTCGCTCACTAGCCGAATTGTGAAACCAGAAAATTACATTTTCGGGCAAGAGGCTTCAGCCAGGCGCGGATCCAGGGGGGGGCCGAGCGGGCCTTGGCCCCCCCCCCCCGCAAAAACAAAACAAAAACAAAAAAAAAGAAGAAAGGAAAAGAAGGGAAAGGGAAAAAGGAGAAAAAGGGAAAGAAAGAAGAGGAAGAAGAAAAGAAAAGGGGGAAGAAGGAGATCAGGGGGCGAAAGGGCCTTGCCTCCCAGGCTGTCCCCCCCCCCCCCCCCCATCAAAAAAAAATAAGAGAGAAGGAAGGAAAGGGAAAGAAAAAAGGAAAAGAGGAGATACTGGCGTACTGATAGAGGGGGGGGGGGGGGGCTTTGGGGAAATCAAATTCAAACGTGGTTTATTTCTAATTCCACAACGGTGGATTACAAATAATGCTGAAATGACATAATTTCCGAAATTTTTCCTCACTTTTTAGTAAATTATACGTTTGTTGAAAAATGACAAATTCCTAAATTTACAACCAGGCAAAAAATATGATTCTTGAGATTCGTACAAAAGTCATGTCAGGGCCCGAGGTACGGCGGGGATCGAGAACCTCGAGCTCCCCCCCCCCCCCCCCTCCCCCACTTTTCTTGACAAAGTATATTAAAGAGAAATAGAATAGAATGAGAGCAAGAAAGTGAGAATAGTTAACTGCCAGTGTTAACAAAATAATGAGGCATCAAAATATGCTCATCTGACCTTTATTAAACGCCTAAAACCCCTGAGCTTCCGGGGCCGGCTCCGCCGCCTCGACCCCACCAGGGGCCCTAAGGCGGGCCCCTGAATGCTTATCTGATCGTAATTTATTGCCTTAAACCCCTGAGCTTGCGGGGTCGGACAAGGTATCAAGATGTGTTTATCTGACCACAGGCGCGTAGCCAGGGGGGGGGCGGTCCCCCCTCCAATCGGAAGAGGACGTAGGAAGAAAAAGGAGCAGACAAAGATTATCTTTGAAATTCAGACAAGGATTAAGAGTATAGAGAACGGTACAACGCATCGTTTTCTTTCTCTAATAATAAAACGTCAAAGCCTCGCGCAGGAGGGGAGGGGGGGGGGCTGAATTCAGACGAAGATTCAGAGGCGAGAACGGTAATACGAATCTTTAATGATTTAATGAAACGTAATAGCTTCTGCGCTTCGCGCGGGATGGAGGGGAAACTAAATTCCGATGAGGTTTATTATCGAGAACGGTACAATGAATCGTCTTCTTCTCTAACGATTAAATGAAGATTAAAAGCTTCCGCGCCTTCCGCGAAGGGGGGGGGGGGAACCTGAATTCAGACGAGGATTAAGAGTCAATAACTGTACAACGAATCGTCATTTTTCTCTAATGATTTAATAAAACGTAGAAGCTTCCGCGCTTCGCGCAGGAGGGGGAGGGGGACGGGGACTAATTTTAGACAAGGATTAAGAGTCGAGAACTGTACAACGAATCGTTTTCTTCCTCTAATGATTTATTGAAACGTAAGAGCCTCTGCACTTCGCGCGGGAGGGGGGGGGACTGAATTCAGACGAGGATTAAGAGTCGAGAACGGTACAACGAATTGTCTTCTTTCTCTAATGATTTAATGCAACGTAGAAGCTTCCGCGCTAGGCGCAGGAGGGGGAGGGGGGAGGGACTGATTTTAGACAAGGATTAAGAGTCGAAAACTGTACAACGAATAGTTTTCTTTCTCTAATGATTTATTGAAACGTAAAAGCTTCCGCGCTTCGCGCGGGAAGGGGGGAACTGAAATCAGACGAGGATAAAGGGTCGAGAACGGTACAACGAATCGTTTTCTTTCTTTAATAGTTTAATAAAACGCCAAAGCTTCCGCGCTTCGCGCAGGAGGGGGAGGGGGACTGAATTTAGACAAGGATTAAGAGTCGAGAACTGTACAACGAATTGTTTTCTTTCTCTAATGATTTAATGAAACGTAAAAGCTTCCGCCCTTCGCGCGGGAGGGGGGAAACTAAAATCAGACGAGGATAAAGGGTCGAGAACGGTACAACGAATCGTCTTCTTTCTTTAAAAGTTTAATTAAACGTCAAAGCTTCCGCGCTTCGCGCAGGAGGGGGAGGGGGGGGGGGACTGAATTTAGACAAGGATTAAGAGTCGAGAACTCTACAACGAATCGTCTTCTTTCTCTAATAATTTAACAAATCGTAAAATTTTCCGCGCTTCGCGCGGGAGGGAAAGAAACTAAATTCAGACGAGAATTATTTTCGACAACGGTACAACGAATCGTCTTCTTTCTCTAATAATATAATGAAACTTCAAAGCCTGTGAGGGGGTAACTCGCCCCCCCTTCACCGACCCCCCCCCCCCCCCCCGCCCCCGCATGACGTCACTGTTGGTCGCCATTACGTACCAATATTTGGCTCGCATATAATTTCAAATTTGGGCCCCCCCCCCCTAAGAAATCCTGGATCCGCGCCTGGCTTCAGCCCCCCCCCCCCCCCCCCCCCGATGAAAATGTCAAAAAAAATTACCGGTATGGTGCTTCTTATATGACCTTGTCAGTATTGGTATGTTGAGTTGAAAAACTGTCTGCGCAATTTTCAAATTTCCGGCCCCCCCTATTGGAAAATCCTGGATCCGCGCCTGAGCTGGATTACAGGCGCATGCCACAACGCCTTTAGGGTAATGCTAGACTCTGTCGTTTGCACAGTATATTTGACTGAAGTGGCTAAACAGTTGTGTAAAAAAAAATATGCGCTGGCGGCCGTGGCCTCACCAAAAACCGTACGGACTAAAAACACGCACGGTGGGATGTGACCAACGCTTTACCGAGGGTAATTTTTTCTTTTCAATATTTTTTTTACATGAATATTTTTTCCCCTTGAAATTCTTTTTTCCAAATTTTTTTCTCCCCCCCCCCCAATTTCTTTTTTTTTATTTTATTTTTTTTTACCTTAATATATTATTTTACGTCGTGTAGTTAATTCATGTAGACCCTAGTTAATTCATTTAACTACACGACGTTAAATCGCGCGCACGCATATGGAAGCAGGAGACCGTCAAAAACATGGATATACGTCGTGTCGTAATTCGAATTGCCACACTACCTAAATAATTACGTCGTGTCGTAATTCGAATTACCACACTACCTAAATAATTACGTCGTGTCGTAATTCGAATTGCTACACGACGTAATTCCGAATTGAGACCCCCTGCGTAAAAACTGGAAAAACGCCATCTGGTGCCGGTGGTCATGATGAAAACGAAATTCACCGACGTGGATTTCCAAAGTAAACAACATGAGTGGGAAGATTTTGATAGCGACATCATGATAAATTCCGCCAAACCATTGATATTTGAAAGTGGTAAAAATAGGTAAGGATTTACTGAAAGAATGTGAGATGTTTGTTGGTTTGTTGTTGTTAACAATAAAATACCAGGAAGTTGTGGTTATTAACGGTTACCTGTTTGTTGCTGCTCTGTTTATCGACACGCGTAAATGACGCCCAATGGCATCACACATAGGAGCATCACTATCCTGGTTGTGTAGATTCTAGGCCTAGTAATAACACACAAAACTGGCACCAGTACATTAAAGCAAAAAAATTAAAAGAATGTACTACGATCCTTTAAAAAGAACTACTAATAATTTACATGGGATATTACCCATCACAAATACATAAAGAATGGAACTTACAAGTTTCGTTTGTGGAAATTTCCTTGGTTTCCAGACATCTGGCCTAGAAAATCTAGATCTAGACTAGACTTCTAGATCTACTTACTTGTCATGTTTGTAATTTGTTGTACAGTAGATCTAGATTCTAGGCCTAGATCTATAGGCTAGCCCAATCGTCTTCAGCTAATGTGCGCCATTTTCGGATTTAATTACGTTTTTTTTAAGAGGTCTCGACCTCTTACGTCCGAATACTTGCATGTCCTTGCTTGTTGATATGGATGCTATCGGTTGTGTACACAGCTCAGCGGTAGGCCTATGCTGTTGCGTACGAGCGTTTTTAGAGTTTGGTATTAAATACATATAGCTCTACATTTCAGCTCAACTAAGTTAAGCTGACAGGGGTGGCAGAGCATTACTATATAATTTCAAAGTATGATATTCAATTATGCAATTGTGGGGTCTTAATACTAAAAATAATGATACTAATAATAGGCATTTCTATTGTCTATCTCGAAATTCGTACGAAATAAGAGGCCTAGCCCTTTAAACCTGAGATAAAGCAATAAATGAAAACGTCTGCGAGATAAGACAACTACCCGTCAGATATTGCGCAATTAGCTTTAGATATCGTGTCACGTATGGTTTCACCAAATTCCAGACAACTCCACGAAGCAATATTCCTTACATTTAGCGCTTGCGCAGTTACGTTTAATCGGTCTCCGCCTCATTTGAATTACCCGCCCGCGCCCCGCCCACGAATCAACGTTCTTGTTCCTTCTGATTGGATGTAAAAGACCCGCCATTCGCTTAACGTTACAAATTTGAGTGCGACGAGAGAGCATACTATTTTCCGTTTTTTTCAATACCAAAATTGTGATATTTCAGTCAAACCCTCTATTTTTAATGATTTTTTCACTTAAGTATTTCACTTAAGTATTTCACTTAAGTATAAGTCTTACTTAACTAAGAAAAATTATCAAAAAAGTCATATTTAAGGTACAAACTTGATTCTTTTCCTGAAATGTCCGTTCACGTTTCATTTGCATGTGTATGGAACGCCATGTGTGCGTCACCTATGTGTAAAGTGCGTCACCTGTTTAAAGCCTGAAATTTCAGTGTTTTTGGTATCCATTTTTGTATGATTGACAGCTAGGGCGTCAGAGCCGAAGTTTGCTTCCTTTGTTCGGTAATAATTCCGAACCATACAGCTGAGTGTCGTATGAAATCGTTCGCCGTGTTTACGTCTGATTGTGACTGCGTATATGTTGTACTTTGAACTGGTTGTGGTCAGCGTTCGTAGTATTTCCATGGTTACGCGTTTGCGCGGCCTGGCTTGGGGGAAACTGCCTGGCCTGGGGGAAATTGCCTGGCCTGGGGGAAACGGCAATATGATTTCGGCGTTTTGTAAAAACACACCAGGAACTAACTAAGCTCCGAAGGGTGCTCAACCGAGATTTGGTGGTCTCCATTCCTACATTAATTTCTTTGTCAAATAATAAGCACTTTGTCAAATAATTAAAGCACTCTGTCAAATAATTAAAGCACTCTGTCAAATAATTAAATGCAAATACAAGTCCGAAATGGAAAGTTGTAATATGACAATAAAATAACATATCAGTAATAGTTTCATAAATGAGAGGCAGGTTAGTATACTTGCTAACAAAACTGACAAATTTGATAAAAATGGTTAAATCTTGAGAGGATTTTGATCGTTTGACAGTATTATATAATTGAGTTTCCCAAATTATTTTCAGTAACAATGTTGCATTTTTTTTTTTTTTTTTGGGGGGGGGGGGGGTAAAAAAAAATTAGTGGGGTTGGGGGCAGCTTTTTTTTTTTGGTAATTATTTTTTTAATATTTCTTTTTTGTATGTGTAGTATCATATTATTATCAATGTTATGCTTTCAGTCATCGCTTATTATATTCATAAATGTATATATATATATATCTCTCTCTCTTTCCGTCTCACTCTTTCGTCCCCCCTTCTCTCTCTCTCTCTTTTTCTCTCTTCCTCTCTTCCTCTCTTTCTCTCTCTTTATCATCACTCCAACTCTCCCTCCTCTACACCTCTCTCTTTCTCTGTCTTTTATTTAACAAAAATTTGAATTTGATCAATGACTTTTTAAATGCCTATCGGGGGTCTATGTTTGATTTTTGATTTATGTCATATTTTGTGTTATTTCAATTTAAATTGCAATTGTATGTTTGTGAAATGGATCGCAATTCAGCCATTGGCTGCGATGATCTTTCTAATAAGAACCATTTCTATTCTATTCTACTCTATGTATTCAAATATGTTATTCAGAGATGTCGGAGGGTATCATTAAATGTATAACTTATGTAAGTGCATACATCTTTGATGCGGTCATTCTTTTCCTGTTCAGTCCAATTTCATATTAGATCAGAGTGAGATGTGATGGAAAGGGGGTATGACATTGAGATAAATAATTAGAGAGAAAGAGAGAAGGAGAGAGAAAGAGAGAGAGCGGGGGGGGGGGGGCCTTGTGTTGGATGTCAATTTTCAAAGCTCAAAAAAAAAACTATGCTCATTTTAAGAGGAAATTAAAGGAAAACCTAATACTTGACAGTCGGAGAAGTGAATGACATGTGATTGAAATTTGTATTCTTCTGCCGGTTCATACTTTTTCATTTTGTATATATTTATGTTTTCGTACGTTATAGAAATTCTACTAATTCATCATTATTTTCTTCTTCTTCCTCCTCCTCTTTTTCTTCTTCTCCTTCTTCCTTTTCTTCTTGTACTTATTATCATTTCTATCATCAGTTTAATGTTATTATTATTATCTTTAAAAGGTAATTCTTTAATTTTTCTTATCTGTCTGTAAATATGACTATTTTTACTTATTAATTTTATATATGTCTGTAAGGGACCCCACTGGAAATAAGCTCTCGTGGGTTATCCTGTTCAAGCTGACTTGTTGATTTGTTATTATTGTATAATGTTGTATGTTCGAAGCTTGTCGAATAAAACTCAATCAATCAATACATACATATACCTCCACACTCAGGCGCGGATCCAGAATTTCTTAGGGGGGGGGGGATTTGAAATTATGCAAGCCAAATATTGGTACGTAATGGTGACCCAGCAGTGGCGAAATGAGCAAAAACGTGTTATTGTTGATGTTGTTGTTGGTGTTTTTTTTTTTTTTTTTTTTTTTTGAGGGGGGGGGGGGGTAGAAATGATCAACGTAACGTAAATTAGCGTGGGGTCTAGGGTCGAAGCCCCGGCGGGGGTCAAGGGGAGGAGCACACAGAAGCTCAGGGAATATAGGCTTTTAATTACGGTCAGATGAGCACATTTTGACTCCTCATTATTTTGTGACAAAGGCAGGTCACTATTCTTTTTTCCTTATTTAGGAATTTGCCATTTCCCAACACTCATAAAAAAAATCTAGGAAAATCATGTCATTTTAGTAATATTTGTAATTCACCGGTATCGAATTAGAAATAAACCACGTTTGAATTATATTTTGGGGGCATCTGTCACCCCCTTCCCCAAGCCCAACCCCCCCCCCCATCAGTGCCCCCCCCAATCTACACCTTAACTATCTTCTTTCTCTTTTTTTCTTTCCCTTTATCTCCTCTTTTTCCTTTCCCTCCTCTTTTTCCTTTCCCTTTCCTTCCTTCTCTCTTATTTTGTGATGGGGGGGGGGGAGGGGGAGGTAACAGCTGGGAGGCAAGGCCCTTTTGCCGCCCGATCTCCTTTCCCCTTTTTCTTTTCTTCTTCCTCTTCTTTCTTTCCCTTTCTCTCCTCTTTCCCTTCTTTCTCTCTCTCTCTCTCTCTTTTTGCGGGAGGGGGGGGGGGGGGCGGCAAAGTCCGTTCGCCCTGGATCCGCGCCTGTCCGCACTCATTGAGTCATCTCTTTTGCTTTGTACAACTAATACATTTCCTAATTATGAGCAGCACAGCTCATTACGACAATCGTGTCTAATGTTTATGAACTTGTTTTCCATTTTAATTGGTAAATTGATATTTAAATGTATTAATACATGTATGTATTTACATACATGTAGGAGCATCAGCTATCATGGCTTCAAGAAATCATGACACCCAGGTTGCGGGACGTGGACCCTGCTCCTGTGCAACCCACAAAATATGATAAAAATAAAATATAATTATAGAATGTTGTACTGTAAAACATCATCATAAGAGAAAAGAGGTGGAGAGGAGGAGGGAGGGACAGAAAGTGTGAGAGAGAAACAGAGGGGATGAAGGAGAGACGAAGGGAGAAAGAGGAAGAGGCAGAGAGAGCAAAGAGAGAGAGAGAGAGAGAGAGAGAGAGAGATACAGACAGAGAGACAGGGGGTGGGAGTGAAATAGAAATAGAGAGGAAAGACCAGAACTGAAGAAGAAAAGGAAAATCTGAAAGTAGCAAGTTCAGATAGAGAAAAGGGATGAGAGAGTGAGAGGAAGGATAAAAGTACATGCAACATCAAAATATGAATGAATGGAAGAACCTGCTGTGCCAATCATCATGACAATTAATATTGCACATAATTAATCTCCTCCATTAGATTATGATTTTCATTTCGCCAATGCTAATTATAACACCAATGACTAGACTGCATTCCTTGAGCTGGCGAGGCACGCGCAGTTGAACTTTCCATGAACTCAAATCATGCCGCAATGCGCATAACTTGGCTCGCTTTCCCACGGTCATTAAACTTGCCGGTATT